TGTTCAGGACTAACACTTCTGGATTTCTCGATTGTGCAAGGCAACATTTTTTCAGTTATGCTACATTACAACACGTCCAAGTTGTGTAACTGTGCAACTGTGGTGGTGCAACTCTTCCAACCGTGCCAGGGCCAAGGAAGTGTACCATGCTAGAGCATGGTACGGTGCACTCACACTGGTCAAACTAAATGGGCTTCAGGGTCAAACGTGCTTGGGAATAGTACAGATTGCCTAGTGTAAGTGGAATGTTTAGACTTTATTTCAGAGAACTCACCTTAAATAAGGACGCAGCTTGTTGAGGGTAAAACATGGAGGCACTCAGAGCCATCAGGCCCACAGGAAACACCAACCGCTTCACCTTAGAGCCTGAGAGAGAGAGAGAGGAGAAACGAGCTGAAATCTAAGGAGCTGCTGGAAGAAAACACACAACCATCTTCATGGGTTGAAGAAAACAGAAAATCATGACTCCTTATGATCAAAAAATAACTTTTCTTCATTACTTTTTAAGAGCAAATGAAACAATTTTAGAACTACAGTTTCCATAAATATGGAGGCTTGATGCCAACAGGAAATGTATTTGATGATAATTTTACACAAAGAAAGTTGGAAGTCAAACTGATTCAAGGGTTTAAACTCTTTCTCTTAACAACTGACTTCTTCTGTAAATCTCTTTTCAGGTGGTGTGAGAGAGGAACATATTGTCGTACCGCTCTCTTCTTATCATCCACCTGTTTGCTGGACCTGAAATGTCTCTATGAAGGTATGCAGGTCAGTGTGTGTGTTTATGTTTGAGTTCATGCGTGCGCAGATTACCTTTGGCCAAATAGAGTCCCAGGAAGCCAGAGAAGCCTACCACAGCTACACTGGGGTAAAGATCAGGAGGAGGGTCACTGAGGAACTGGTACACATCTGCAAAAACAAAAGGTGGGGAAAATGGAAAGTAATAGTCACAGTAAATGTTTTTTATAATAAAGGTATGTAATGAGACAGTTTGTTACCCATCTGCATTCATTTTAAACACTATGGAATAACTCCTGCTGCTGTTATAAGAGCTACATAAATAAAGTGACATGACTCATTGTCCTTTTTTAAAAGAGGAAATCTATCAGCAGAGACATAAACACAAAGGTACAGATCTCACACCAACATAAACCACAGGGCACTATTTCAGGAGCAGACTCAGGAACTCTGAGCACAATCCCACCCTCCAAGTTGATTTAAGTTCAGATGGGAGTTCGTTCAATCAGCTCTGAGTAGGTTTAGCGTATGCACAACAACTATGAAAAGCCCACATATCTACGTGGCTCCTTTCCAGCATGTCTTTCCCCACTGTCTCCCCGATTTCTGACACTATCCACTGTCCTTTCCACGGCAACTCTTGACAAAAAGAGGTCCTCGTACTTTACCCCTCTCAAACTAGAAACACTGCTGCAGCAGCAAAAGAGAGAGAAGTAGTGTGAGAGAAAACGGCTGCTATAGTCAAATGAGCGAGTTTGAATGAATTCTATCATTTTCATTGACTTTCTGAAATAGTGGCCCTGGAAACATTCAGACGCACACATAACATTAACTCAGCATGCTCTCATGATTATACCTACAGCTCATGCTGTGTTTGCTCACCTGTGACTGTCGTGATGGACGTGGTGATTGTGGGCTCCACAGTCCTGTACACTCGCTGAGGTTCAAAGATAATCAGCAAACACAGAGAAAGAGAGACAGAGGAGAAGTCAGTGTCATCTGATAACAGCCTTGATCTAGAAAAGATATGTTTTCTTAGCTGCAGAGCAAACCAATAATTACCCAATTTTCACACACAATAGATTACTGACAATTTCACATTTTTGTTTTTGCAAAGACACTCATAACCTGTACTTTGCAGCAGCAAAACAAAAGGTGTATTCTGACTGATCTAAAAATTGTACTGCACTGTACGGTTACTAGACAACAGAACATTGTTAACCTGTTTTACCAACAGACTTCATATAATATCAGTATGTTTACGCATCACTTACATCGACTTTCTCCATTGCAGCTTGTCCTGTTTGCTGCACAGAAAATAAAAAGTACAAGTAAGTTTATCTATACAGCATTTTATCTTTCCTTCACCCAAAATTGAGTTCAATCACATTAAAGAACAATAAGAGTTATAGTATCTCTTGTACATGAAGAGCTGATATATTGTTGAAGGTCCAGGATATCTACTTTTTTTTTTTTTTTTTTTTTTTTTAATTATGATCTAAAGGAAGAGGGAAGGAGAACTAAACCAACAATGAACCCAGCTGATGTTGAACGAAATGTAACATCAAGGTTAAGTTGCATCAGAATACAGGCTCATTCTTTTTGTCATAATAAATGCAAAGTAATGTAAAAGAACAACGAGCATGGCTTGTGTGGATGGCTAAAGGAGACAGGCAACATCAGTTATGAACACACCTGACACTGGTCGGTGTACGGTTCTGCCCATTTCCTCAGTGATGAGACACTCTCCTGCAACTGTCCCGCATCAGGCTCCACGTACTTAGCCTCTACTTCAGGGCTGGTGTATAACGACGGCAGCTGGAATCACAAACACAGACGTTTAAACACCTAAGTTACTCTATGTTTCATGTTTCATTTTTTTTATTTGTTCCGTACATGTCAAAACACACAACAGAAAACGACAAAGAAAAAAAAACAATTCACACTTTATCCCATGTACGGAAAAGAGCAGGGAGAAGAATAATTCTTGTTTTGCCTTCCCCTTACTCAAAAAGCAAACAATAAATGTCTGGATGGTCTGTTCAATTACAGTCAATGAATGAATATCACGGCAACATAAAACAAATATGACAATTCAGTCTTTACTTCCTCAGAAAGTAGAAGGAAAACACACACAGAACACACAAACTGCCACTTTCGTACCGTCTGATAACTTTGTTCTTGTACATTTTCTTAAACTGAAATATCTGAACACAGCCCTTCAAGTCATTATTTAAGAATTCCACAATTTAATTCCAATGACAGAAATACACTTCTGTTTTAAAGTTGTCCTCGCAAACCGATGCTTAAAATGAAATGTTCTTCTATGCTCTTCATCTTCTGAGCTAAAAACAAACATCTTTTGTAAACTTTCTGGTAATACTTTGCTCTGAACATAACTACAAGTGTCTGTAACTCTTAAAAACAGCCCATTGGTGTGCTCTCTATAGTGAACTTTATGAATGATTCTCTCTTTTCTGTCAAATAAATAACGGATTAATGTTTTATAATGTATATTTAAAATAAATAACGGATTAATGTTTCATATTTCTTAATGTATATTTAAAATAAATAACAGATTAATGTTTCATATTTCATAATGTATATTTAAAATAAATAACGGATTAATGTTTCATATATCTTAATGTATATTTAAAATAAATAACGGATTAATGTTTCATATATCATAACGTATATTTAAAATAAATAACAGATTAATGTTTCATATTTCATAACGTATATTTAAAATAAATAACGGATTAATGTTTCATATTTCATAACGTATATTTAAAATAAATAACAGATTAATGTTTCATATTTCATAACGTATATTTAAAATAAATAACGGATTAATGTTTCATATTCTTAATGTATATTTAAAATAAATAACGGATTAATGTTTCATATTTCTTAATGTATATTTAAAATAATGTTGAGGTGTCGAATTGTTCAATAAGTTAAATAACCCACCTCATCGAGGCTCAGGACAGGTGCTGAGCTCTTCTTCTCTCCCTCTCCTGCAGCAGCCAGAGTGGAGCCACACAGCAGACCCGTCACACCTGAGGCTGCGGAGAACAGCGACACCTGGCGGCACACCGGCAGAACACACACAAACACACACACACTGACGAGTGAGTTAACTATCAAAGCGCTCACTGTTACTTCAAACTATTACAAGGAATATGTAGGCACAACAAACTAATAGAGAAAGTAAACACTCATTCGAAAATATAGCTTAAATAAAAAGGTAAAAACAGCAAACGATTGACCTGTTAGCACCAGCTGCTAACGCGATGCTAAGGTTAGCTGTGTCTTAATTTAGCATAGTTTCACTTAATTTTAGACTTTTAGCACAATAAGCCTATGATTTAAAGATTGCAGCTACTGCCGAAAAAAACATTTTTCAATTAAGGCGATAAAATATGACATTCATAGAGGATAGTTACCACTTTGACATATGACATTTCATCCAGAAGACGTTCGCTTTCGACGGTAAGTCGGAGGAGTGACGCACCAAAGTTGCGCATGCGCGGCTCACTTGGACAGGCAACCAACACAAGGCGTTGAGAAAGAGATAACAGGACAAGAGGCTACTTACAGAAAGCAGGAACTGTGGAAAAGATGTGCATACTTATTGGTGTGTGTACTTATGGCTACCTAAATCTGTATTCCCTATTATATTTTATCTTGTATTGATCATCTAAATGTTATGGAAGCCCATTTCCGCCAGTAAAAAAAATAAAAATGTCTCATAATTTCAACTTTTTATCTCATTATTATGACTTTATATTCATAATTTCGACTTTTTATCTCATAACTTTATTATTTTCATTCATTTTTTTTTTTAACTTTTTATCTCATTATTATGACTTTATATCTCATAATTTCAACTTTTTATCTCATTATGAATTTATATCTCATAATTTCGACTTTTTATCTCATAACTTTATTATTTTCATTTTCATTTTTTTAACTGGCAGAACTGGGCTTCCATAAAATGTGCTGTATAATTGGTGAATAAAACTCAGAAAATATAGAGGAATGAAAACAGTATATTAAGTAGCATTTGGTTAAGTTTTTTTTACGCTGCTTGCATGTTAGTTAATTTATCTATGAAGGGAAATAAGCACTGGTATAATATTTTAATAACTTTTTTAATCAATTTTTAAATCCATTAGTTTGGTTACTAATACAAGAGAGAAGAAGAGATAGAGAAGAGTCAAACACACAAACACAGATATAAAAACACTCATTCAGCCATCTGAAAGTCGACCAATATGAACATTTATTTCTGGAAAGAAGTTACAAATCGTTTCCAAAGTGTTTCTACTCAGATAATAAGATATGTTAATCTGATTTTACTTTCTTTTTCGGATACAGTCGTTGTAGCAAGTTTTTTTTTTTTTAAATCCTCTATTCTGTTTTTCCTACCGACAGACTGAAGACTGGTGGACTAAAGGATGCTGCGTTATGACTGATGTGCCTCAAATCAGGACAGTAGTACTTTATTGGTTACATGTTTCTTCTTTTAACAGCAACATGAGAGGAAGAAGAGGAGGGAGAGGCTGCAGAGAGGCAGATATGAAGATGATGATGATGAAGATGATGATATCAGCTGCAGAGTACATTGAGTTACAGAGGCCTGTTTCCCACCAGACCTGCCCCTGACTGTGTAACAATTTGTGTGTTTATCACATGTGGAACCTCAAAAGATTATTGAATCTAACGGTTTTTTTAAAGTGCAAAAACAGAAACATAAGATCTTGAAAACAGGAAAATTACAGCTTTGGAAATAAAATAATAGAAAAAACATGATTAAAATGTTATTGAACCTTAAAAAACAGAGAAAGTGAAGTGATTTGAAAAAAAGAAAGTGTTTTATTTTGAGGGGAAACCGTTTGAAAGCAAAACTGTCTAATTTCTTATTTATTTAAATGTTTACGTTGTATCTACTTACCAGGTCTTTTAGCAAAGAACGTCCAAATTATTGTTCATGACATGAAGCTACAATGCACCTAGCTGATTAATCAATAAGTTCATTGAAAGAAAACAAATAAACTTCTTTTTAATAAATTCACTTTTTATAGTAAAACAACATTTGCTCGTGCAAGGTCCTTTTTTTAGTTATGAGTGGAAGTCATTCATAGAACTTAGGTGTGGAAGTCTTAAAGAGTACATGCATGCATACATTTGATTTTACTGCATTTGACAGTGATAACAAGCTCCAGTACATTGTTTTCTCAAGCTCTTAAGAAACTAATAGAGAGAAAAACAGCATTCAGGATAATGACATAAATAAATTGAGTTCTTGAGAAATAATTCATTATCACAGGAAAATGCTGTAAAATCAGATGTATGGATGCATGTCCTCTGAGGGCTTCCATACCTAGGAAATGAGGTTGGATATTTTCATTGTTACTGAATGTTTTGTACTTAACGTGTTTTACTTTCAAACATCTCCCCTTATGTGTGTCATAAAAGCTGCTTGGAGAAGTCCACAGTGACACACACACAGATTCTCGCCGCGTTAAAACGTGAAAACCTGCACAAGCTAAGATTTGTACCAGCCACACAATGTAAAACATTTTCCCAAAAACATGAACCCAGAGTTGCGTCGCATGAACACTGTAATGCTGCGGCGAAAGAGGTGTGTGCATGAACAACAGGTAGAGCCATGAATTAAAGGATAATACCAGAGGGAAGAAATTCAAGTCAGATTCCTCGGAAACAAGTTTGCGTTCAAGAAAAGATTAAGTTAAACTTGGCTAATGACAATTTGCATACAGGAAAAAGTAAAGATGCTCGAGACGGCTATTTAATTGACACTTGTACCCTTGTTTAAAATGTACCTCTTCTTCTGTTTGGACAGAACTCTTTCTGATTTTATTGACCCTTCTTTTCCATTTACACTGGAGAAAAGACTGCACTCCATTCATTAGCCACATACAGTGCTGCTGAGGCGGACAGGGCAGCCACCTGAGGACAAAGAACAATCTGAAAACACCACAAATTCACAAATGAAACTCTTCCTTCGTAATAAATAACCCTACAACTGTTACTGCATAGCTCGGTGTAAGCAATACTTTAACTTAAATAACTTAAATACACGGCAGACGTACAGAACTGCATCAGTATGCACTCTAGCCCTTTTCACAGTCGGCTCATGAAAGAAATAAAAAATAAACATCAGGTCAAAAACATGGAGCTGGTCATGGAGCAGGGATCTCAGGGCTGCAGGGTCAAGGCGCTGGACTGCTTAGACGTGAATGCTCTACAGTTTATACGACAACATAATATCTGCAACTGCTTTATAAATAACGTGAACGTATCAATCCAGGAGACGTTTCAATGTCTGAAACTTACACACCTGGCTTCAAAACAAAACACTGCTAAATTCAGTTTTGGAGGACAGATTGAGCTTTTGTTGAGATTGATTTGACAACTTTTGTTTCGTGAAGGCCTAAATTCTAATTTCTTGGGTTTTGTCGACTAAAACCATAAAATGAGTACATTTATCAACTTTGAGCCTCGTGCAAGAATCCCTCATATGAAAGCAGTCATTGTTGTACTAACGTTATGAAACAGTTTGGGATATCTGCTGGGAAATTAGGAAATTCACTAGTTGTCCAGACTCATCTTACACACTTTGCAAAAGAGGAAACACTTGATTTTTCCTGATCACAATGCCTTCATCTGCATGAAACTGGAGTTCAAATATACAGAAATATCTAAATAAAATCTATAACCAGGAAATACTTAATGCAACATCATCATTATGTTTCTCAACATGTGTGCAGATTACCATTAACTAGCAAAGTACATTTTTAATTTGAGCACAGGCATTGAAATATAACAGCTGCCTCAGGTGATGAATCTGAGCATGATACTGAGAAACTGGAGGTCCTAACGTTGTAATGCCCACTGTTTGGTGACACATGTCTGGTATCTCTGTCTAACAGACTCTTTCAAACTGCTTAGCTTAAAAAGACACATTGTTTAACACCTGGCCTTGTGTTGAGTGATGAATGATGCAGCAGAGAGCTGCCTGATGTTGATTTTGGCAGGACTTGTAATATTTTCTAACATTTCAGGCCCTCTATGAACAAATTCTTGACACCAGTGGATTTCTTTACCTGTTTCAAGCAGCATGAGTTGAAGCTCTGCATTGTAAATGAGTTATTTTTAATCTTTGGTAACTTCATTTTTTTTAAATTGGCACTTGCCTCAGCAGCAATGAGACACAGGCGGCCTGATTTGGCACTAAGAATGATGACGCTAATAAAGCAATCGCTTAGGTGTTCTTCGAGCAGAGAAAAGGAAACTCAACATCAAGTTTATCAGGTTAAGATATGTGTGTACGAGCAAACCTCCCACAGTGATCTTGCATGAGGCTCAATGTTTCTTCGAGACGATGATGCTGGTATTTTCAGACGTAGGCCTTATTTGGTCATGTTCGGGGTTTCAAAATTACGGCAATTTCACATTAAATTAATTTTCGAGTCTCACATCATGGTGGGCTCTTAAGAGCTCCTTTTGATTTGTCAGCCAGGAAGTTAATTTCAGAGACTGGTAAACATCTGTAACATCACACAACATGTTTTTAAACCTGCAGACTGCGCATTAAAACCCGAGAGCCACAATAAGAGCCAGTAAAGTGCAGGGAATGTAGAGGAGAGTCAGTAAAGCACTGCCAGTGACGAGACGGACACAGACGACATCCTTTTACCTTTGATCCTGTCACTATTATCTTATGACATCATCAGCGGATGAGAAATAATGTACCATGTAGTGTTTTTTCCCCCCACTTAAACTCACATTCAACTTCTTCTTACACACACTCGCACATTCACACATTTATATTCCCGGAGCAGAGGGAGGAGATGTGGTGATGTAATATGAACATGAGTACAGTATGATGGGTATCTGGGAGTAAAGAGAAGAGTAAGGACTAAAAGCTGGAACGCACTGGAAGCATAAACTGATCGTGTGAGTGATAAATCTAAATGTTTGAGCTGGAAACATCATGTTTATATTCTCTTTGCTTTGTATATTTGGAGACAGGCTTTACAAATCAGCTAAACTACAGCATATAGTGTCTATATTTAGTTTATATACCTGATTGTATGCTTTAAAATGCTGTTAGAAATCGTTCAGTGCATTTCTTGATTGTTTGAAAAGCTCACCAATGTCTTGGCTCTCACTAACTTATTTCTCAATACGATCATCTTGATTACAGATAAACTGGATGTTTTTATTGTCTATAAATATGTCATGGGGAGCTATATGAACCCTAACTCAGACAAGATGTTTCACAAGGGATACGAAACCTATATAAGTCCGTTTGTGAATGTCTAAATGTAAAGCTTCCAGTGCGTTTCTGCAGAAGCCTGACTGGACAGCAGCCTAAATACAGAAGGTGAGTAGTAGAATAGGAAACTGACCACAGTCCAAACATAAACCTTTTTTTCTCCCCATTCATATTTTTTCGTAATTTTCTGAAAAAGCTATTTCTGAAAATGCTCAAGCTGACTGTCAACATGTGATGTCACACCACGCCCTGCTTCCACTGCCTTCATATAGAAGAGTAAACCTACGGGCCGGACATCTTCCCTCCCCTTAGGTAAGTGCTGGTCTCTGGATTAAAAGCCTGCGTGTCAAGCGAGTCTCCACCTGGAAACACCTGATCCCCAGCAGGAGACCTCAGTCCTCATACGGAGCATTCCTGTTTCTATAAAAAGCAGACCTCAGCTGCAGCGTCTCACGTGCTCGAGCACATACTCTGGGAAGTGGAGACTGCACACCTGCAGACCGTCCAGTTTGCAAGGCATCCTGGGATACTCATCCTCCTTCCACTTGTTTTCGTCGGGGTCGAATGTGAGGATGGAGTCACTGTAGTGGCCGTTGTAACAAAGACCGCCCAGCACCATGATCTGCCTGTCCAAAACTGCAACCCCGTGGCCGCTGCGGCCGATGGGCATAGAGGCGAGAATGGTCCACTCGTCGGTGTCGGGGTCGTACACCTCGGTAGACGGGCAGCCTTGTGACTCGAAAGAGGCGCGCAGGATCACGCACACGCCTCCAAACACGTACAACTTCCCGTTGTGAGAGATCATCTTGTGGAAGCAGCGAGCGTAGTTCATTTTGGATTTGTTCTCCCAGCAGCTGGTGTGTGTGCCGGGCAGCAGCGCGCCTCGGCCTGGGCGTGTCCTGTGTGAATCCGATCCCCCCGAGCTCCCTCCGCTGCCCCCGCCTACACCTCCACCTCCTCCTCCTCCTCCTCCTCCTCCACCCCCTGCCTCCCGCCCCGGATCAAAAACGCACACCTGTTTGGAGGTGGAGGATGAGGTGATGCCGCCCGTGATGTAAAGTTTACCGTTCAGGACCGTCCCCTCATGGCCGTACTTGTTCACTGGATACGGATCCACAAACTCCCAGCGGTCCTCTGTGATGTCATAGCGCTCTGTGGAGTAGAAGGTCTCGTCTCGCGTGCGGCCTGCTACTGCGTAAATGAACTTCCCGATGACGCCCACCGCAAACTCTGACCTGCAACAGCAACAAAAGAAAAGAGTCTGTAAAAATACCTTAAATTAGCAAAATGTGAAAATGAACCGTAAGAAGGAGAAAACCTCAGATCACACGGTACACCCAGGGTTTCTGTCGCTTCTTACCTTGGCACAGACATGTCAGCCATGCGGAGCCACGAGTTCTGTCGGGGGTCATAGCGGTAGACCTTCGAAGAGGCGTGAAACTCCCCGTCGGGCCCGAGCTCCTCTCCACCCAACAGGAAGGCAAAGTTGTTGACGATTGCCAGACAGTCTGGTCGCAATGGCACCTGAGGTCCCTCCAGCTCCCACCACACCTGAGGGGTGAAAACACAAAAACTGAACCTCAGATTGACAGTGTTGTCAGATTATATCAATACAAAAAATGAAGAGGTGTTCCAATGACACATCAAGAGGAGAGACTACTAACAAAAAGGTTAAATACAACAGATCTCAAAGCTCATTTGTAAAGAGACAAAACATTGCAAAGAAGTAATGGAATAAACATCACTGAGTTGCTATTTTAAACTTCTGTATCAGCCCTTGTTTTCACAATCAGAGTGTCACTCATAGAATCTGGATGGATCTGTTAAGGTTAAGGATCGTCCACATGATTGTGTTTGATTACATAGACAGACTTAAGGAATATACCTCTGTCTTGTAATGATTCCATATAATCTAAGATTAAAGGAGCGATATGTAACTCTGCTACCTAGTGTTTAAAATGGGTACTGCAGTTCAAACTTCCAAACATTGAAGAGAGCGGTCTCCCCCCGCCCCCTTCTCCCTAGAGTCGGTGCGCAAGCGTGTTATCATGTCGCGGCCACTTTAGTTTCAGTATTTATCCAGCTCTACTTCAGTCTTGAAACCTTTCTGTGTTCTAACCACTCTCCATTTTTCAAAAGCATCGCCAAAATGTATCCTAGTCTTACCACGTTTCTGGTCATGGTGCTTATTAGAAAAATGACAGAGCTTTTTAGGTCGGGTTAAGATATATCTGAACCAGTTTGCTTGTCCGCTTCCATCGCTGCCACACCTGTTGGTTTGAAGTTTGCCTGGCAAACCGAGGAGCGTCCAAAACGGCTGTGTGGGGTTGCCTCAAAACCGCCTACATACTCTGGTCAAAACTAAAACAGAACATTCCTTACTGGAGTCAAAACTTGGAATGAGTACATACTGGTAGCTGCACTGTGTATATGGTTATATGCAACGACAGCTTTAATTAATTTCAGTTTTAAATCCACAAAAATCAATAAAAAAAAAACAACCACACAGTCGGAATAGCTCATGAAGGCAGACAAACAATCGGACACCTTTGGGCGCTGCAGCAGCAAGATCTTGCTGTTGACCATACTGTGTCCAATCATTCCCCTGAAGACGGCGGTCTGCGGGCGGACGGAGCGGATGCGGTTGGAGCGCGTCTCCACCAGAGGCTGCTGGTTGACATCATGGAAGTAGCTGAGCGCCTGATCCACCTCCTGCCTCAGCTGCCGGGAGTATCTGTAAAACTCTGACGTCTTCACCTGTGCACGGAGATGAGCACAGAGGGACATGATCAGTGAACCTTGCGGAACGTTACGACCCTAAGCTGCGTACAATGTGTCAGAACTGTCAGGGCTGACCTTCTCAAAGATGTTAGCAGGAGTCATGAGGCAGAAGCGGATGGACTGCACGATGGTGTCCGTGTGCCTCCAGCGCCGCCGGTCATGTCGCAGCCACGACTGAACAGCTTCATACAGCTCGATTTCTGGGAAACGACTCAGCGCGTCGCTATTCAAGTAAGCCTGAGTAAAGAGAGTAAAGACTGAATTAGAGAACCTTTTCTTTGTTAGACCTGTGAAGGTTTTAGGTCATTTAGAAACAGTTACTCTGTATGTTCGTCCAAAGGAAAGAGCTCACAGTAAGTATTTGTCTCTGTACGTGACTTGATCACCGTGGATACCAGATCATTTAAAAAAAGTAACACCATAAATATCCAGAAAGTGTGTGACCTACAGGCTTATTTTGACATGTTTTGGAAATCAAATGACCAATTGCTCTAGCAGATCACTTCAGTGTGTCATGTAATCCTTGCAGGGTAGTTTACTTACAAAACTGAAAATAAAGTTTTACGATATAAGCTGAGCCGTCATTTCATCTTTGTAGATTCATATTGATTCTGTCCTGTCTTTCCCCCCAAGGCAGTACAGAGGGGGGTTCACTTCGTCCCCCCCATTACACCACCGCAACATTCATATCGAGGGCAAAATAATCGAAATCTCTTGCCTTGAAACGGCAATCTTAATCGGGCTTGTGTGTGAAAACACCCAACATAACGAGGCAAAACAACCAAAGGTAGCCGAGGACATCCAACCTCATGTCTAATAGTGAATCAAAAAAGTCTATCGCTGTAGGGATCCTTTCTGTAATGTTGTCAGACACTCAGAGTAACAATCTGAGCCTGTCAGGGACAGAAACAGCTTTTAGAGGACATAGCTTAATGAAATCACATTTTCCCACGGAGATTACATGACAGTCTTTACAGCCTTTGTTGGGGTTTGAACCTACTGATCATTTACACAAAAAGTAAACGGAGTCCAAGATCAAAAACGCCAAATATATCCTTCATAAGTTCAAAAGATGATCACACCTGTAGTCTCTCCAGGCTGAGGTAGGACAGGAAGTCGGGTCTGCTCATGAGGGGGACAAAGTTGTCTAGTAGGAAGTTGTCGAGCTGCTCCTGGACGCCCTCCACGCCCACGCTGAAGTCCTCCAGGAGGCGCATGACCTCAGCACAGTTCTCCAAGCAGATCTTCGCCAGCAGGAAGGAGCAGCAGAACTCCACCGCCTCCGTCAGCTGGACGTACATCGCCGCCTGAAGGGACGGGCAGCGAGAAGAGACGGATGAGTTATGAAAGTGAAGATGTAAAAAAAAAATGCTGTGTCAGTTTTTCATCGGCCCTGTTTAAAATGAAAGCAGAGATCATTTAAAACACTTTATAGGGTTTCTGGTGTTTACCTGAAGATCTCCTGCACTGTGGGCATGCTGAGCTCCAGGGAGCCGTAGTACATGAAGCGGAGGATGTGTCCGAATCCTGCAGCTGTCAGCCCCTTCATGTGGATCTTGTCCTGGTCCCTCTCCCTCATGTCTGCGGTGAACATGACCCTGAAGTAGTCGCTCTGGGTGGCCAGAAGCGCCTTGTGGGCCTGAAGGAAGGACAGACATGTTTACAGTTACAACAGAGCAGTAAATGTGTTTTCTGCCACGGCTTTTGGCAGAAGAAACTATTTGGACTGACTCTGCACCACAAGAGGACGTGGAATGCAATCATTTGAATTGAATTCAGTCGAACTTTTTAGGTATTTGTTCTCTTTTTCATCAGGGTGGTAGATAATATCATAGCCAGGTATAACGTAGAAGGAAAATATGTCAGGTGACTGTAAAGTAACAAAGCATTTAAGTCATATAGAGGAAGTATTTCCCTTTAAAATGTGTTTTTAGAAATCTTCCTCTCTCAGGGGGAATAAAGATGTTACAGTTGTCTACACATTATTTTAATTCAACTTCAAAGACGCTAAGAAGACTTCCCAACACCTTTCAGTTTTATTCACAGACAACCATGAAAAGAAGGATTAGGCTATTGGATATAACAGCATGTATTTTAAGCACCATCCATCCTTGTATGTCTGCAGCTTTACCTGGAAGTGGTGCTCCTCGATCAACAGTGTGACATCAAGCAACAGACGCTCCTCATAAAGCGCCCGGAAGCCCGATGACACACTCCCATCATGCACCTGGGACAGGTACACCTCCACATCTGCCCCCGACATAACACACCTGGAGGCATGAAGGAAAGAGGAGTGCAGGAGCAGGTGGACACAGGGTGGTATGAAAATCACAGAGCATTAAAGGGTTAAAATCACTCACCACGGCTACAGCGGTGTAATGCAACATAAAGCAAGGATGAATAAGAATTGAAGCTATTTTAAAAATGAACTCGACAGACACAGAACTGTGAATCTCTCTTAGGTAATGGTTCTGCTTGAGTAGGCTGCTGCTGCAAAAAAGGTGAGACTGGGCCTAGAAGGGCATTCAATAGGACATTAAGCATGAAAAGCTCAGCACTTCAGCTACTGCATCCAAACAGGCAGTTACTCTTTCACAGGCAAACACGTGCATTTCTGCACTTACACACTGGGGAAATATCCCGCTCCACTGCAACAACACAGTGAGGATGGTAAAAAAAAAAAGGAAACGCATAAAAAAACATCCTGCATGTTCATTCACCTTCTTCAGCATTAAAAATGTCAGTCATGTGCACACATTCAAATCAGAAAAAAAAAAGTAATAAAAAAGAAAACTGGTCGGTTATTATGCTCACTGTCACCAAACAAGAAGGAGTAAAATAAAACACAAATCATCAAACTCAGTCTCTTAAACAAACACAAACACAAACACACACATAGCACACTCACCTCTGATTGGCCACGGGCATGTCAGAGGGGGTTGTCCGAGCCAATCAGAGGACAGTGCCCCTTGTGTCCTGTAGATGCTAACAATGTCCCTTTTCTGAGCGTCAATCACCTGGACAACAAAGCCAACACAACAGCCACATTAAAGCGTGAACATCAGAAGGAGCAAGCTGTCACAATAACACAGCCGTACAAAACTTCTACGCGGGTTTGATACCTTTAAACGCGGCCAAAAGTCTGCGGACCCTCAAACATTACATCCATGAGTAAGAGGAGGACGAGGTTGTCCACACAGTTTTGGCCTTGATGTGTTTTTCTCTTCATGTATAAAATAATTAAAAATCAGCCCCACAAAACTGAAAGTGTTTATTATGTTTACTTTTCCAGTCTGTTTACTAAAGTATATGACATGGGTGTTAGCTGGTAAGTGAGGATTTAAAGATTATTTCAGTTTTATACAACTTTTATATTTTAACAGTAAAAAAATCATTGTTGTTAAGTAAGTGTGAGCTGGGAGAACTGATATCAATAAAACAGACAAGACAATCAAACAGGTTGGAATACAAATCTCTACAGTATGCTGCCCCCCCCCCCCCACCCCACCCCCGAAGTGTAACTTCTTTATGTTTAAGACACTGCTCATGTTTTCCAAGTAATGCATTATAATTTGGACTATAAAAATAAGACCAAAGGTGCAATCATTTTTATTAATAAATTACGTTTGAGCTCCTTTACTTTTACGACTGATTGTAACAAAGTGACCCCTGGTTCCATAGTTATTCATCATGCATGCTGAAGAACACGAGCCAAATTTGTCATTTCAGTGTTTTTATAAGCCTGTGCCGTATTTTCTTTACTGAATATAGGATATAAGAGACAAAAAAGTTCAAATAGATTTGGATTTGCTGGGGCTGCAAAAAGCTGGAATGTTATCTTTAGGAGAAATTAATCAGATGGCTTTGAGGAACCAGAGGAATGATGGGTTACATAGATGATGAGTTCTAATGACAGAAGTGGTCTCCTCTGGTAAAAGGTGAAACATGCAGCATTGCAGAGTAAAAATCGTACCTTTTGGAGCCCGGGCGAACAATCACAGGCTTTGACAGCTGAGCGCTAAGGGGTCGCTCGCATTTCCTGTGTTTATGTTTCCCTGGATCTAACAGAGGAGAGAAGAAAAAAAAGAGCAGTTAGACACGAGGGAGAGAGAGGAACAATCCCATCACATGTTACATGTTAAACAATGTGTTTACGTGTCACTGTTACTGTGGAGAGCTCGAAACATTTTACATCACAAACAAGCGCAATCATCAAAGACAAACATGTCAAACATTGAGGTAAATATATATTTTAGGGTTTAACTGCAGAAATATGAGACATGTAATGGCTGCAGCTTATTATTTGGTAATAAGTTAGTCTCCTGATTTTTTTCTCAATTTATGGATTTATCATTTAACCCATGAATTGTTCAAAGATGTGCAATACAGCAGCTGACAGTAATCCAGCAGCTCCAACCCCAAAAAGTACTGAAGAGGGCTGCACAATTAACTTTATCCGTTATTGTGATATGAGCCTTTGCAATAAACACATCCCGGTGTCTGAATTGATCTCAATTAAAAAAAAACGACTTTTAAAGCAGTCGAGAAATGATTCCCCACTCAGCATGTGAATATTTTACTTGCTGGACTGAGGCCAATCTATTATTGTCATGTTTTCACACCTTTCAGATGCAATCACATTAAGCTAAAGCTAGCGCTGACTGTAAGCTACTCTCGGATAAATTGGTGACGCAAACACATGTATAGATATAGAAACTATGCTAAGGTTCATGTGGACTCTTAATATATCGTAATTCATAAAGTTATATCGCGATAATGAACAATGTCATCACACATCGCACAAAATCAGTAAATCTTTTTATTTGAGAAGGTGAAACAAGCAAATATCATGCCAGGTCTTTGATTAATTACTGAAAACTATAATTAACTGTTGTGTTCCCACTATCTTTCTGCTGACCTTGTCTAATTCATAAAAACAGATTTTCTCAGTTGTTTTTTTTTTTTTTTAATGTGTTTGCAATGCGACTAACGCAAAAATGTTAAAAACAGAAAAAAAATGAATCAAGTTTAAAAGTATTTATCAGAAGCTGAACTTGAGCTTCGACAAGCATATTGTTGATGACACTTTTACCTTGTGCATACTTGTTCATTATTACAAATTACAACTACAATTTAGATGCACCAGTTTGACATCGGTATCGGCCCCATCGATAGCAAATAATGTGGCATGAACTGATGTTTATTTGTTGCTGACATCGAGTACACCTTACTTCTGATTCAGTGAACATGTTCATATTGGGTAGAAGAAGTCACCTGATGGACAAACTGATCTGTTTTGAAAAAAAAAACACTGATATCTGCCCTGATTATCACAATTGGAGCATGTGTGAAAAAGAAAACAGTTCAAATTGTCTCCTTTGGCATTTATCCACAAGAACTATAATCTAGAGCTGTCCATTATTTTACAGGACCCTGAACTTTATTTACTCAGCAAAGAACACCACACAAGCTCTCTAAATCTGTGTAAACCACAGTGTAGTTTCGTTTCAGGAAATCTCGCCCTGTACCGGCCCTGACCTGAACTCACCTCTTTAGAGATCAGAATAAAAACAACAACAGGTTGTGAGTCTGCTTTGAGTCCGTCAGTGAGGCCGAGCTCAGATGAAAACAGGCTCAACTCCCACAAAGAGTGACAATCACTTCTCAACCAGCAGCTAAACAAAAGTATAGTCCAGCCAACGCAGAGCATTCATATTAGTCCATGTAATATCACTTCTCTCTCAAGTCACAGGCTATATGTCGATTTGAATGAAGACTTATATTAGTGTGCGTTACTGTGTTAAGACATTGTGTCAACAGGAAGAGTGGAAAAGAAAAGAAAGGGATGAGCAGGCAGGTGTTGCGATTTAATGAGTGACCCTTGTAACTGGTGACTTTGTGGTTGTTGTAGTTACAACAGATGTTGAAGACGGAAAGTGACAAAACAAATGCCTCAGTTTAGTTATTTATGATAGGACCAAACAAAATCACAAGACATGCCTTTGAAGAAAAAAAACCTAAACAGAGACATCAGTTTTCATCATCTGTTGTAACTACGACGACCGCAGAAACAGTAGGCTGAAAGTCACCAGATAACACGGTCCCTCTTTACACCGTAACACGGGTAACGCTACAGGGTGTGAAATTAGTGATTATTTCTCTATAACACTGAAATGAACAGCACAGTAGTAGGTCAGGGAAGGTTAGCTCTGTCACCTTATTTCATTTTCATTAAAACAGCGAGTCAAAGTGTGCTGCACAGCCCTTTAACGCTGAGATTAGAGCCCAAAACAAAGGCTACATATAACGGTACACGTACCACCGTGCTGCCCGGGGATGAAGGTGATCATGTCAGATAGGAAAAAAATAAATATCATATATACCAATTATGTAATAAACGAAGACATCTCACTCTGTTACAAGTTACGTGGCTAGCCAAATTTAGTGTCACGATTCTGAGCTGTGGTGACAGGAGCTACCGAGGGGGGGGGGAACTGCTCTCCACCGGGGGTAACACTCATAGCTTAGCTGCTAAAATCCAGCCGTCTCACCTCGGCGGTTCGAATCCCCACAACCCCTCTTCGACCAGGCAGCTCCGGCTCCTCCGGACATGAAGTTGCGGGTTCTATTCCGGAATTAAGAAAGCGGACGGCAGCGGTGCACTGCCATGTTATCGTCCATCTGCCAGACGAAGAGACCCCCCCCCCCTTTACTCGCCTGCAAATTTAAACGGCTAACACACCACAGCGGTTCTCAGGCTTTTCGGACGCCATTTTCTGCACCGGCGTCATTTCCCTTTTGGGCGGAACTGAAGGGCGTTGTGCGGTGCAGCAAAGATCGAATAAATATGACAGAGGTGTTACTCTGAACCTTTTTGTTCCTTACTTTTTCGTAAAAGACCACTACAATTTCCTTTAAATTGCTGGTTTTATGGTTTCGCCGTCATATTGTATAGTTTCTGCTTATAATATGTCTACAATCATGCACTTTAACTTACTTGTTACTTACTTATTGACTTACTTGTCAATACTGTCCATTTACAACTCTGTTTTTTGCACATTTACATTTAATCTTTCATATTAATCTTCTTATTTAAGACTAGTAATGCTTAGTTAAATCCTGGTTGTATATATTCACATTCTTAGTTTTGATATTTTTAGTACTTATTTACTTTGTATTTAATATTATATTATGTTTAGATCTGCTAACATTGTGTTTTTTACTCATATTGCGTGTTGGATAACGCCACAATTTCCCAGTTTGGGATCAATAAAGTAATTCTATTGTATTCTATTGTATTCTATTGTATTGTATTCTAAACTAGTGCACGCCGTCTAACTTGCAATGGACTTACTTGTTAGACAGCGAAGAGTTTGCATGCAATTTTCTCAGTACTTTAAATTGTGACTTTACATCCTTGTTTTTGAGTCCTAAAGAATCAAGCTAATATTGATACGTTGCCAATTGTGTTACTTTATGAGGGACAAAAAATGACTAAAGTATAAATAAATGTGGGGTGAAATGCATACAATAATGTATAAATAAATAATTAAATAAATGCATCAGTAAATATATAAATGCTGAAACAATACATCAATGAATAAATAATAAATACAGTTTGTTAATGAAAAAGGCTATTTATACATTTTTACATGTATTTATTCATTTATTAGCGTATTTCTACAGTTATATATGTATCAATGCATACATTTCCACATTAATTGAGTTATTCATTTATTTCTGTATTTTTACATTTGCACATCTATTTATTTCTGTGTCCAGGTTGTAAGAGAAAAATATATATGTAAATTTGCTTCTGTCTGTTTTTCAAAATTGACCAATACTACTTCAGTAATGTTAGGACGGTCCACTTCATTTATATATTTACTTTTACAGAAATACATAAATAAATATATGAATATATTTATTTGTATATTAATTTTATATGAATTATTGTTATATGAATTTATATATATATATATTTATTGATGCATTTATTTAATTATTTATTTATTTATACATTATTGTATGCATTTCTCCCAACATTTATTTATTTATACTTTAGTCATTTTTTTGTCCCTCATGTTACTTGGGTTAGTGGGTATAAAAGGTGTAAAAACATTTAATTAATTTGCACATGTGCCCAAAAACTTCATGCTATGTTTGGATAAGTCAGTGCTCCAGCTAGGTCACCCCAGTCAAAATTCAGTCTACACGCACCCCTGTAACAATTCCAGTATTTTATTCCTTCTTTCTTAGAATATTTCTACAAAATCGTGTAGGACAAAAATAAGTGACACTTTCCAATATCAGGAAATTAATTCCTACGCCTAAAGTCCAATAAAAAGAGGAGCAAATAACTACATTTTCAAAGCAGGCTAACTCAAATAAGTCAAACCTTTTTTAATTAAGAAAACAATTTAAGGCTTTCTTATCTTTAACAAGTTTCAATTACTTACCTCACTGTTTAACTCTTTCCTCCAGTGGTTCAAACTGCATGGGTTTAATTTTAAAGTATATCCACTTGTGAATAAAACCTTCCCCAAGTAAAATCACACTATTGAGAACAGGCTCTAAATTTCCATTTTCAATAAAAATACCAAACCTGATTTCTTTCACTGTCGAGGGCGAAAGCTGAATCTGATGAAAGGCTGATGTTCTCCACTGACGTCATGGGTTCAAAGTAGTGTTGTGTGATTGTCTAGTTTTTAGATCTTCACTGTCGTGTTTGAAATACATTCATTTTTTTATGTAGTTTTATTCATGTAGTCCATTCCGAGATGCGTCTACCATCGCAGAACTACAAATCGGATTACGTCATTAAACGACGACGGACCTGACACACGTACAACGTATTTTTTTTGCTTTAAAGAGACTGAATATCTGACAAAACGCATAACGCCCTTTTCGATATAAAGCGGGTTGTAACTTCCTAAAAGTAGCGGTAATTAGTAGTCCGTGCTTGGAAATTGTTGAACGGGAAAAAGAAAAAAAATTGCATCAGCCATCGTGAAAGGACCCCTTTGCCTCCAGTTGGTGAAACATGCGAATTATAAAACCACACAATGTTCAGCCAAAATAATATTTATCGTGTTTTTTTTTTACATTTAGAATTTATTTAGAAGCATTTTATCTGCATTTGGTTGAATAGATAATTATCAAACAATAAAAATATCTTTTTTTTTTTTTCTTCTTCTTCTATTGATCAGGCATTCGCCCCAGTCACCTTCTTCATTTCCTTTTCATTCAAGATGGCGGGTGACGAGTCTGGCACAACGCTTGGTCAGCCTCATTTGGCTAAACAAGACCTTACTTCTCTGGTAGGCGACTACTTTACTTTTATTTACCACCTTATCTCACGTGTCGGCATCTGTCGGCGTGTTAATATGTCTAAACAGTGTCGCAAATTAGACGTTTCTTTACGTCACCGTGGTGCGCCACCATCACCACCCGGCACATGACGACAGGCCGCCGGACAGCAGCTCCACCTGTGAGCACGATTTACGCGTTTTACTATTTTATTTTGTAGTTCTAGTTTAGCCAAACGTTTGAATTTTAAATGCCTACCAACGCTTTAAGAGTCTCTTTATTCGGTTAATGTCTGGTTTATGTGCTTTGCTCAGTCAGACAAAGCGACACCATCATTTGTTTAATTATAATAATATTCATAAAATAAATCACTAGAGAATTATAATTACATGTATTTTACATCAGCAGTTGAAACCTCGTGAAATTATAAAATCTGTTTCGATTTGTTAAGAAAAATGGGAAAGTCTAAGGCAACATTATTTACACATTTCAGTGATTTAAAGTGCTCCACACAAGATAACAAAGGGAACAAGAAACATTCAAATAAGATATTTTAAAAAAAAAATCACTTATTAAACCATAACAATCACAGAGAAGAAGAAATCTGTTTATATAAGATTTTACAAAAAAAAAAAAGAAATATAACATTAAGCAAAAGTAAGAAATGCAAAATATGTAAGTAAACTCAATTCGGGATGTAATGATGTTGTCAGCTCTTTGTGCATTTCAGTGCTGTAGTCTGACACAGATCCACAGGCTGGTTTTGACTCATCGAAATGGATTCTGTTGAAGAATCCACCCCAGGTCTTTCTGAGTATTTAGGTTCAAAGTTTGTGTCCTGCACAGCCCTAAGGTGCCCTTGAAACCCCTCCCCCGGGTTGCTGTGATGGTGAAATGCACCCACAGTCATTACAATTTAAAGATTTATTTTTTGGGGCTTTTTGTGCCTTTGTTGGAGAGATAGGACAGTGGAGAGAGAGAGGCTGGATTTGAACCTGGGCCGCCCGCTTGGAAGACTACAGCCTCCGTACATGGAGCGCGCGCACTAACCACTGCGCCACCAACGCCTCGTCATTACAATTTAAAACTACGCCAATTTATAATTGAGAATCGGGTCTGTCAACAATTGTGAACGATTACTATAAGTCATCTGCTCTGCACACACTCATGAATCTGGTGGTCGGAAGTCGCTGGTCAGTGGCCACAGAGTCTCATCAGTCCTGGTCTCACCTAATCCAAATGGATTTTGTTGAACTATCCGCCCCAGGACGTCTTCCCCAAGATATCGGCTCACAGTTTGCTCAGTAATCAATGACGTTTCTGAAAGTAAATATGGGACTTAGACAAATTCTTTGTTATTTGGCAAGTTTCATCTATTTAAGAAGAAAATAACTAATTCTTGGAAAGCTTGAGTTTGGTGGTATTAATGATTCTGGAGGAAGCTGATAGCCAGAAGCTAAACCGTTAGCATGCCATAACATATCATTGCTGTTGTGTTTAAAGTGGAGTGCCTCCTGTTCGTTTGTTTGCAGAGTCAGTATGTGGCTTTGTTTTTGTGCCTTCTACTTCACCAGATTTCTTTGTTTCCATTCACCTCCAGGATTAGAGCGAGGGAGAGGGCTCTGCTCACATTCACTGCTGTATTTCAGTGCTATGGGTGTATCTAACGTTACCCTTTCTCTTTGCAGGACGTGTCGTCCTTGACGCCTCTCTCTCCAGAGATCATCAGCAGACAGGCCACCATAAATATCGGTATGGGTCTCAGCCAAGAATCAGACTGTGTTGTTCTCTATGCTCGCTGTTTCACGTTGCACATGAAACATGACGACTTCATGGTTTCACTGTCTCTCTTCTAGGAACCATCGGTCATGTAGCCCACGGAAAGTCCACAGTAGTGAAAGCCATTTCTGGTGTTCACACTGTTAGATTCAAGAACGAGCTGGAAAGAAACATCACCATCAAGTTGGGATATGCTAATGCAAAGGTCAGTAACACTAAGGACTGATATATCTGCTGGTAACATGGTCTGTTCTTGTCTCCTTGACCTCTGCCTCCTTTAGTCCAAAGGCTTGAATGATTGGGACTTTGCCCCCCAAGTTTGTCATGCATTCACAACTTGATCAAATCTTGGTACATAAAATTAAAGCATACAAAACAACTTCAGGGCTTTTTTTTTGTGAATTTAAAAGCAACACTCCCATAAAATACAATACCTTCAAGGGTGAGCCCAGTATTTTTCAAACCTGGGGGCTTCTATTGTTATTTTGGGGATTCTAAATGACTCATAGCCAAGGATATCTTTAACCAAAAATAATGACAACTAAAATGTAAAAAAAACAAAAACATTTTCATTAACTGAAACTAAAACAAAAAGGCCTTATCCAAAAAACGACAACTAACAGAAACTAAAGATAAAGATAAACTTTATTGATCCCCCGTGGGGAAAATCTGTGCATTACAGCAGCTCAAAGTATTTATTATTTAAATGTATTACAAAACATATTTTTTTAGAGAAAATGTCTGTAGTCTTTGACACAAGCATACTGAGTGATGCACAGCCATGCTTCCAGTTTGTTTCAGGCACGTCAGTTTATTTTTTTGGATGACTTTTTCCCTTATTTATACAATGTTTGAAGGTTATTGTTTAAAGTGCGGTAGTTGCTTGATGTTTTTCTCTGAGCCATTTCTGATACAGAGACAAAAAAACTCAAACTTATAAAACTTAATTCAAACTAACGAACCAGCATGAGAAACATAAAACTGAACTGACAATTAAAAAAAAAAAAGAAGAAGCCAAAACTATGATAAACTTGCTAATAGTTACAACATATTTTAGATATCCTCAGGTAGATTGCTTCCCCTTGCTACATGAAATTGGATGCAGCAGCTGCAACATAAACATTTAAAGATTTTGTTGTCTTGAAGAAAGCAATGTAACAACTGCGTCTAATCAAGAAGGAAGAAATGTAACTTATCAATAAATTATTTTCTTTCTCTGCATGGATCTTTCCCATATTTTTTTACACTCCTGAAATAAAAGACCTAGCCTGTCTGTGGCAAAAACACGTTTTATTTTTATTATTGAACTTTCTTACTTCAAAACATTTTCCCTCAAGGAATACATTTGTCAGTTCAGTCTCTTTTGTGGTGTGCATCTAAAGCAATCTAAATCTGAGAAGAACATGCGGGGCGAATAGAAAACGTAATGCAGCAGTTTAATCACGTGAGGCCATAGCGGTCACATGCAGATGATGGTTGTGCACCAGTGGCAGGGAATAAACATTCCCACCCCATCCCAATCGTTGTTGGTGAATTCTCCTGATTACATCCTGCTGCGTTCTCACATCAGCTCACTCTGACTTTATGCAAATGAAAAATACTAGATTCAGAGATCAGAGTGAAAATGTTTTTCTGTTTTTGTGCACACATGCAGCTCACCGCGAACACTTCAGGAGTTTTTCAAAGCACTATATTAGAGCAATTCACATGTTTTTTTTTTTTACATATTGTTCGTTATTGTCCCAAAGTTTGTAAAAACACTGGATTTATTTTAATGATACCAGAATTGATCTTGATAAATTAAAAATGACTGGACCCTTCCTTGTTTTTTCAGGTCTATAAACTTGATGACCCCAACTGTCCCCGGCCCGAGTGCTACAGGTCGTGTGGCAGCAGCACTCCTGATGAGTTTCCCACAGACATCCCCGGCACCAAGGGCAGCTTCAAACTGGTCAGGTAAGACTGGAGAGAGAGGGGGCAGATCACGGCGTCTTTCGGACTGTTTTTAACAGTCTTCTCTAACTGGTGTGTGGGACTTTTTCTTTCCCCCAGACATGTGTCTTTTGTGGACTGCCCCGGTCACGACATTTTGATGGCAACCATGTTGAACGGAGCCGCCGTCATGGACGCAGCCCTGCTGCTTATTGGTAAGAATCTGATTGATTTTTCACAAACTTAAACCTCATAATTTTGATGCGTTCACTCCCTTTGGTAAGATATCACCTCATTTTTTCTGTTTTCTTGTCTCTGTACACCAGCTGGTAATGAGTCGTGTCCTCAGCCACAGACGTCAGAGCATCTGGCGGCCATAGAGATCATGAAGCTGAAGCACATCCTCATCCTGCAGAATAAGATCGACCTGGTGAAGGAGAGCCAGGCCAAAGAGCAGTACGAGCAGATCCTCGCCTTCGTGCAGGGTGAGGGGCTTGGTTTTATTTTACATTTGTGAATGTGGTGGTGTTAAAAGAGCATGGCAGGATGTAAACTTCACAAACTGAGTCTAGAAGTTACAACAAAACTAGAAAGAAAGAGGGGCTGTGTGATGCATTGCAGTTTATTCCTTTGTTTTTGTAAAGGAACTTCGCTGTTGCACTCTTCTTTTGCAAAGATTTATTAGTGAGATTTAGGGCCACCTGCTGTTTTTTGTGTGATTGCCGGCTTCTTTTTCAATTGTTGTAGAGAAAAGGTGCAGCATCCATCCTTTTTCTGAATCCTACGCCTTTTTGTCCGCCGACTCTGAGCGCTTCTAGTTAAAAATTGTTGAGCTTTTCAGAAGGGCACTGTTGATGTCACCAGTGCTCTTTTCAAAATATTTGATATTCTCTGTATTTTTGTTTCTAATTGATCATGCAGTGTACCCACATCCTCCTAGCTGTGACAGTGGGGCCTGTCATTATCACTAAGCTCATCATTCAGATGAAGAAGGAGTGTAAACTTCCTCCGTTTGATGCTCATAGTGAAGAAAAAAAACGATCTCAGACATAAACTGTCTGTCCTAGAGCGGCTGTGGTCAAGAGACTTCTGTAATAGAGACAAGACACACATGCAATGCTTTTATTCTGAGCTTTCATGTGCTTCACCCAAGCGCTCCAGAGCACACAGCCTGCGCTCTTCTACCCTCTTATGTTTCATGGCTGCACTTCTAATTCATCTGATGTTTAAATAGTGACTCTAGCGTTAAATGTTTAATGCAGAAATCAAATCATGTGGAAATTTGATCAGAACAGAGTTACTATCTCGTTACTCTCAGTTCATTTTGCTCAGGCTAAAACCTTTAACTTTTCTTCATGTTTCTCCTGCAGGCACAGTGGCAGAGGGCGCTCCCATCATTCCTATCTCAGCACAGCTCAAGTACAACATCGAGGTGGTCTGTGAGTACATCGTCAAAAAGATCCCAGTGCCACCGAGAGACTTCATCTCAGAGCCCAGACTCATCGGTGAGAGAACACACAAACTAACCTGAAGTGACGTCTGCTTTCTGATTTTCATCTACATGACGCTCAGTTTGTGGTTTGCTTTTGGTTTTCCTCTTGTTTCACTCATTGTGCACCTTCTGTGTTTCAGTCATCAGATCTTTTGACGTGAACAAGCCCGGCTGTGAAGTCGATGATCTGAAGGGAGGCGTGGCAGGAGGAAGTATCCTGAAGGGCGTGCTCAAGGTCAGATGATTTGTTACATTTTTTAATTTTATTTAAACACACAAAACGTTGATCAACAGATACACAAACAAGTTTAACTGCAGCTTTGAATCACCACAGTTTTTACGGTTCTTCTGTGAAGATGCACTTGAACTGCAAATAAATAAATGCAGAATTCTATCAGTTACAATTTATACTTTTAGTAACATTTTATTTTCATACACAGACACGTTTATTTCTAGTGACTCACAGGGCAACAAGCATGCTTTGAACTAAACTCTTCCTGCTCCCTGACTTACTCTTCTACTAAACAAGACAGTAATTCAACCTTCTCTCAGATGGATCTCTTTCTGTCGTGTTGATCCTGGGAATAAAAACCATCCTTCAACAAGACATTGAAGCTGAAAAAGATGTTGCAGTCCGAAAAGGATCATTAAACTAACCTTCATTCAGTTATCTTAACTTAAGCTGTGTATTTCTGTGATTCCTCTTCAAGGTGGGTCAAGAGATTGAGGTGCGGCCGGGTATCGTGTCCAAAGACCATGAAGGAAAGCTCATGTGCAAACCCATCTTCTCCAAGATCGTCTCTCTGTTTGCTGAGCACAACGACCTGCAATATGCAGCACCCGGAGGCCTAATCGGTTAGTCCACACACACACACATAAAACTTTACACTTGAACTGTGATTTCTTCTTTCATGCCTTAAAATAAAACCCCCGTTTTTACTTAAAAAAAGAAAACATATGTCTTAACAAATATTTAGCTTTTCATCTCACCATTCAGAAAACTTTTTAGACCGACTAAGTTGGAGTTAGACACTAAGCCACAGAAAACAATGAGATCTAAATTTGAAAAATGATTTGCACAAACAACAAAACGTTCCAGCAAATAGCTAAGCAAAGTCTGTGCGTTTGTGCGCAGGTGTGGGCACTAAGATCGACCCGACGCTGTGCAGGGCAGATCGTATGGTTGGTCAGGTGCTCGGCGCCGTTGGAGCGTTGCCAGAGATTTTCACCGAGCTGGAGATCTCCTACTTCCTGCTCAGGAGGCTGCTGGGAGTCCGCACGGAGGGAGACAAGAAGGCTGCAAAGGTGAGACATGCATCATTTGGAAATGTGCTCCAAACTATCAGAGAGGAATTATTGGGCTGTAGGATGAAGGTCATAACTTCTTTTCATGTTATATTTACGGCCTTAAAATGTGGAAGAATAAAGCGATCACGGCATTGTTTTGTGTAGAGATAATTAAACACTCCGGTCATCGAGACTTTGGTCTGTGCATTTGTAAAATTGTACAATAATGTATTTTCCTCTTGCTGGTCAGTCTCCTGGATATTTCTTTGGCTGAACAGGTTCCTGACAGTATCTATCTTCTATGTTGCGTCCCTGCAGGTCCAGAAGCTGTCTAAGAACGAGGTGCTGATGGTGAACATCGGCTCACTGTCGACGGGCGGTCGCGTCAGCGCCGTCAAGGCTGATCTGGCCAAGATCGTCCTCACCAACCCGGTGTGCACAGAGGTCGGAGAGAAGATCGCTCTGAGTCGACGTGTGGAGAAACATTGGCGGTAAGATTTAGAGCCTCCAATAAGCCTGAACTCGTGATTTAATCTGATACACGCCTCGCAAAGAAGGGTGACCGTTCTCTCCACTAGCTCTGTTAATATTTGAATGTAAGGTTTTTATATATATTAGTTGTGCTTTATTCTCCAACTCATTAATTTATTTTTTAGTTAATCAACAAACAACTTAATCTGCTCTATCTTACTTCTCTTCTATTTATCCTCTCCACACACATGCTCACCTGCACCTCTCCTTTCTTACACACAGCAGCTTGATCAAGCCTGCCTCATCCCGTAGCTTTGTTTTTGTGTGTTTTTTTTGACAATATTCATTACATGTTTCACTTTATATCCAGTATATCCCATCAGGGGAGTCACGCTTATTAATGGCCGGTATCCCAACAATCACCGCAGCTGCAGGAAAATATTTAAAATAGCAGAAGAAGCTACAGTTTTATAATGACATGTAGCACCTCTCTCTCTCTCTCTCTCTGTTATCCATCTTTTTATACATTCTATGACTGAAATCAGGAGGCAAACCAAACTTTCAGTTTTATTCATGCACATCAGAGGTCTGCGCTACACAGCCAGGCTTCCTTTGTGTTAGCTTTCTCAACAATATCATGAAGCAAAGTCTGACAAGTGTAGTCCTTCTCTGGAACTTTTTAATCATCTCAGCTGTTTGTTTTTGTTTTTGCTTTCACTTAATAATTTTGTCTAATCAGCTCCTCTCTCTCCTCCTTGCAGTCTGATTGGATGGGGGCAGATCAGGAGGGGCGTGACCATCACACCCACAGTGGACGATGACTAAGGAGATGGAAATAAAACAGGATGATACCGTAGCAAAGCTCCCATCAGCTGGACATCACAACCATCACACTCTTCTTTTTGCATTTTTTTCCTTTTACTTTTGTTTTTTTTCCCAAAAGGAGAAACGGTGCAAACCAAACAGGACACAAATGTTTTAAAGATGTTTAAAGAAGCTTCCTCCGTCTGCTCCTCTTCCTCAGCAGTGAAGCTCAGATCAGACCGTTCACTTTGCTGCAGATGAAGAAGAGCAGAGAAGCAGAGGAGGCTCTTTGATCACAATCCTCCAGAAGCCTCATTCAGAGCGACACAGAGGTTCACTCAGTGCGGAAGTGATCCTGTGCTGTCCAAGATTTCTGTCAGATCTCATAATAAAGAAAATTTGGAAGATTAAGTGCTCATTTATTTTGTGTGCTTTCATTAATTGAGTGGCTGAAAATTAAATAAACTGCAGATAAGTTTCAAACTTGGAAGGGGGAAAGGTCTTCAGATCCTTTCGACAATTTCATTACTTTTATCTACTGGTTTTGTATAAAGACGACGCTCTAAATTAGAAAGTTAAGAACGAACATTAACATATCTTTGAAGATGCGTGTAAAACAATACATTTTCTTCAAAGGTTTTGCAATACAGAGCTTTAAATGGAAACTTAGATTTTTGTAACTTTGGTGTCATCATTTTTCCTTTATTCGTAGATAAGCGTACTTAGTTCAGTCCAAGCTGAGATGATAAACCTCTTTCACTTTTAATGGTTGTTCTAATGCTCTAAAATGCGATGTTGATGCCTTTTAAAGATAATTACTTCTTTTTTTTTAATTGCTGCTTAATTTGATATAGTTTCTTAAGATTTTAAACAAACACAAAATATTTTCACTTATCAAATCCAGCTGTGTTAGAAACTATATAATGACTTAAAGTGAGCCCCTCATTAACCAGCAATTATGTTAAAGAGTTCAGTACATAAATGTTGTGTTAATTGTGTGATAATTAACATCTAAACGGTGGGCTATAGGTTTTATGATGCATAGTTTGAAGCTGCTGCTGTTTTTCTTAAACTTCAAATTCAGGATTTTCAACTGTGTTTCTACACCGTGTAGTCCCATGAATTGATTCATAATGCTATTTATTAAAAATAAATGTAAACTTCATCTGTCATGGGAGGGCAATTCAAAAGCACCAGCATTAAAAAAAAAAGAAAAAAAAAAAAGACTTACAATGTAAAATAATGTTAAAATTACGAAATAGATTAAGACATAAGTGGACAGTAAACGGACACACACAAACATTAACAGATCTGCACTTGTTTTAATTACAGGAGCTTTTTCAAACACTGCACCCAACGTTTACCAAAGGTGGTGGTGTTACTGCACTTCCGGGTATGATCCATCTGACGAGCACGGGACATGACGTCACATAGGTTGAGACAGGAGCAAAGTGAGAGCTGCTAGAAGGTGAAGCAAGAGTCGGGATTTGTCCAACTGCAGATATGAGTTAGACTCTGCAGTAGATTTTTTCTTGTTGTTGTTAAATCTCTCCATGTTCGCAGACCTGTCCGAAACAAACTGGCCCTGAACGCATCACGGCGAAAAGATTTCCGACTCACTTTTATTGTTATTCTTTCCATCATCACTTGGTTTTGTTTTAGCTCAACTTTTCCACCCCACACATGGAGTCTGCAGGTAAGATGAGTTCTCCTGCTGACCAGAGTAACGAGAAGGTATCGTGCAGAGGTTTTTGCAGCCATACACTGATTTTACCATTTGATTGATTGTACTTTTTACTTTAAAACATTTATCTATCTGACGCCTTCAGCTACTTTACAAATTGTGATTTTTGCACATTAAACAGTAAGAGATCTAATCGTGTTAAGTTGAACGTTAAGAAACCAAAGATGAGTTAATATAGCTCTAATGTAATGTTGACTATTTACAGGTTTTAATTCATGATAGAAATATATATTGTTGCATGCTACAGAATTCTCAAAATGAGCTCCACCTTAAGCAACTCCAAGAGAAAAATCTTGCTTTTAAATTAAGACATCATTAATAATTATATACATTCCAATGTTGGTGAAATGATGTTATCTATGTGGATTATTAAAAATCTGATACTCTCTGCTTTTTGAATAGAAAAGGAAGTCCTCCCCTGTGAGTGTCATCAGATTTCACTTCTTTAGAATTCAGAGACTCTTAATTGATCTTTATACAGTAACTGAATGTTTATAACCTTTGAACATGCACATAAGTGAAAAACAAATCTTAATTTCTCATCACTCATAACAAATAAGGAAAACCTTTGAATTACTCCCTTTGGAATGAACTGATCTTTATTAAATATGAGTTAAACAACATTTAAAGAGTATGATCTTCTGTTTTGGTCTAAAGTGTTTTCACTCTCATTGGTCAGATTCTCAGCGGGGGCGGGACAGTGGCAGTCTGAGGCGTTCCCCCCTCGACGTCCTCATGAGTCAGATCCGCAGGAAACGCTCGGCCTCGGACAGGAAGCCGTTGGGACGCTTCCTGTCCTGGTCCTCAGACCGGACAGGGATCTCTGAGGATGCAGAGACAGAGGGACGGGAGGAGAGGGGACAGAGGGAAGGTGGGAAGGAAGGTTTGGGAGACTTTATCTCTCCCTTTTTTATTTTTCATTTACATAATAATCAGATGTTTATTTATTTATTTTTGGTAGAGAGAGCTGAGTTTAAGTCTCAGACATAAAGATCCAAGTGACATAATGTTAGACATTTGATGGAGTGTTGCAAAATAAGATAAGATAGAAGTTACCTGAATACACAAAATAAGAAAAATAAAAAATAAACGCTAAAATAATGAACAAGGATAACAAACGATGAGAAATGATTAGCTATAAGAGGAAAATTAGAAATAGTGTTTTGTATTAAAAAAGTCTTGCAGAACCACAAAAGAGAAATATTTTAGGCTAAAAAGAAAGCGGTTCAGACAAAGTGAGAGAATTGTGTCCTTTGTAAAAAATGTGTGTGTGTTGCTCAGGTGTCTCTGATGGAGCAGAGAGCGGGCGCGACGTCGGCTGGGGTCGAGTGTGTGTTTTCCTGCAGAGGTTGGGGAAGAAAGCGGACAGCAGGAGCCTTAGCCTGGCTCACTGTGATCTCACTGCTACAGACCTGCTGGAGCTAGGTGGTTAAAAACAACTAAAATTGTTTTAATTTTCCTCATAACATGACAGTTATACTAGCACACATGATCTTTATAATAATATTCATGGTTAGAGAAGAAGGTGTGAAGTTTAAGGAGTATAAAATACAGATATTTGTTGAATTAGTGAGGGCTAAAATTACAAGTGGTCATAAAAATAAGTACTTTGTAAAGTACAGATTCAGCTCAGTTACAAAGTTATTGTAATTTCTTAAAGATTGGGAACAACAGCATTCTGCCTTTTCCACAGAAGTTATTTTTAGTTGCCTTAGTATGAAATCCACCCTTTCAAAAAAAATCGTATCAGGAATAAATGCATGAAATCGTCACTTTCCATCATCCTTATCTGTTGACAGCATCCTCCCCGTTATCCTCTCGTTTCCCCAGCCACGTTGCTTCAGTTTCTCCCTCAGCTGGAGGAGCTGGACGTCTCCTGGAACGAGCTGATCGGTGGATGTCTGAGAGCGCTGACCTCTCATCTTCAGCATGTGGGTGGAGTCCGAGTCTTAAAGCTCTGCAGCTGTAGGTTGAACGCTGATGACATCACTGCTCTAGGTTGGTCATTACTGTTTTCTTTTATGATGAAAGTTTCATGCAGATTTATACAGTTTATAATGAAAAAAATATATAATTCTCCTGTCTGTTTCTTTTGGAAGGAAATCATAAAAAAAAATATATATCTATGTTTTTCTTTTTAGAAAATGTTTAATGTTAAAGTATTATTTGTAAATTACCCGGTTTAAGCCTCTCAGAAGTTAGAATCTGTTGTTGTTTTTCCTTCTCTGGCAGTAAACTGGAGTTTAACTGAACAAACAACACATTTCAAGATTTTTTTTCAATAAAAATCTACGAGATTAATCAACAATGAAAGTGTCTGACTACAACTCATACAAGGCTGTGTGTTAAGGAGAGATGATTCTGTCTGAAGAGGCGGCTATGGAAGGCCTGAATACACAATAAAAAAAAAAAAGTATTTTGTTTGTGTAGGTGAGGCTCTTGCTTTCATGCCTCACTTGGAGATGCTGGATTTGTCCTGGAACAGTGGTGTTGGGGGTGGCACATTGCAAGGTCTGCTGGGTAATCTTCAGCCATCACTGAGGAGCTCCACCTAGTGGCCTGTCAGCTCACAGAAGCTGATGCTGCTGCACTGGGTACCAAATATTTATTTTTAGTTTAACCTAAAATTGCATTCAGGAGGAAGGAAATGTTGGACCTCACTTGTATCGATATGCATGTGCTTGAGTAATTTCCTACATTTCCCAAGATACAACAGGAGAACACATATCCTGTCCTTCAGTCTGTGTATAGTGTATGACATACTTTGCATGTCCCCCTCAGGAGGAATGGTCTCATCTCTGCCCTCGCTCTGTGTGTTGGACATCTCCTCTAATCCTCAACTCTCACAGGGCGTTAATGGCGGTGGATTCATGGAGCTCGCCTCTTCTTTATCTCACGCAACCTCCCTCACGACGCTCCGACTTCAGGCCTGTGGTCTGACAGAAGACAGCCTTGATGCTCTTGGTATGAGTGTATTCAGATATTCTGTCAACATACATGACATTGAAGACGCTTTGGTTAAGATTACTGATGGTATTTGGAGTAATAAGTTGTCATAAGTTGTTTTCTGCTGCCACTACTGCCAACCTGGAGGAAGAAATCTAAAGTTTTCTGACAGAGAACCATTAACTAGGATTGCACACATGGCAGCAAACTGGCAAACAGTGCCACATCATCTGCCAACAGTCAAACATAATAACTTAAAATGTTATAATTCTAAAGTCTTGAGTCTTGACTGGCTTGCAGATTTGCACATCTTATCCTTTTATGAACTCAAAATACTTTTAAACAAAATTAAACAGAAGAAAAAACTTGGAAAATCCTTCATTGCATGGAGTATGATCTCACCGATCTTCTTTGAAAAACATGCATTACGACAAGTTAATTGTCCCCGTCCTCTGTCCTGCAGGTGGTACGCTCCACTGCTTCACCTCACTGCGAGAGTTGGACCTGTCCTGCAACAAAAGTCTGTCTGGAGGACTTGACCGCCTCACTCTTTACCTGGCTCACCTTACACACCTGGAGAGCCTCGACCTTCACATGTGTTGCCTCACCCACGCTGACCTGGAAGCCCTGAGTGAGTCTGTGTGTGTGTGTGTGTGGTTGACTGTTCCACTGTGAACTGCGAGGAGACATGTTACAGAAGTGTAATACTCTGTCTCCAGTC